AACAGCGTTCCAATTTGGGACAGTTCGAAAGTGCACAGTTCGATCTAGAACAGTTCGATTTTGTCCTTGTTCTGTTTTGATACTTGTTCGAGAAAGACACTGTTCTGATTTGAATCAGTTCGACTTTAGGTCTGTTCGATTTTGAAAACGTTCGAATTCGTCGTACCCCCCACCATTAATCCTCTTATTTTTCAAATTTTTCAAGTCAACCAAGTCATGAGTCGAATCGAAAATAGACAGAAAACATTGTTTTCCTGATAAGAGACATTTTTCGAATAACTAATATAATCAAACAAAACTTCAAAGAAGTACTCATCAAACTTCGAGAACACATGAATCCAACATGGCTCAGCGATGAGTGGGCGCCAGGAGAGTTGACTTTGAACCCGGAGCCGGCCAGAAAACTTTTTTATTAGGCCATTAATTGTGGCACTGATAAGAAAGGTCTTTGACGACATCGCTCGCGCGGTTTTCCTAGAGAGAAACGAAACTATTATGTTTTGTTTATTTTTTTTTGTTCGTTGATTAAATAATACAAAAAATTAGAAATTGTTGAATAAAAGTACAAAAAAAAGAAGAGGAATCGATGACTAAATGAACATGAGACGGTCAAGATTAGTGATAAAACAGGAGATTGCCTATTTGAAGGAATTTTGAACATTTCAGACTGAGAATACAAATTAAAAGGAAACGAAAGAAAATAGGGGGAGAGGAGGAAAGAACACGGTTTGAGATTTGATTGTATCGGAATTTACATTGGGACGAGTTTCAGATTTTCAAACAAACATGATGAGGGGGGATAAAAGCGAAATTAGAAAATAGAAAACAAAATAAATTAAAGATTGAGATAATTCATTCGAGATCCATTGGAACCTCTTCGGTTTTGTCTTGATGATCATCAGCGATTGAGGCGATTTCAGTGATTTGTAGTGGTGGCTTGACTGGCTCAGGGGCGGCTTCTTGCTCTTCTTTCTCGGCAGTTGGCACGGTTTCAGGCTCTTGAACTGGATCCTTCAGTTCATCAAGAGTGGTTGAGGAGACGGTGGCTTCCTCGGCTGAAACTAGTTAGGGGATTAACTCAGAAGGGATACACCGGTACGTACCGCTCGACTTCTTGACAGATGGCTCACGTTTGCTATCTCTTTCGTAGCTTGGCGATCGGCGTATCCGGCGATCAGGTGATCGGGAAGTTCTGCGTCTGTAACTTTATAAGGATAAAATGACCTAAAATTCTGGATTAACTTACCGATCTCGTCTATCATCACGTCTATCGTCACGTCTATCATCTCTTCTGTCATCGTGACGATCATCCTCCTTCCTATCATCATCTCCCCATCGAGAACGTCTTCTTGCTCCATCTTCCGATCGGCGACGATCGATTTGAGATCGATCACGATCACGATGTTCATAGTCGCGATCCCGTCCATGATCTCTACCATTGTCTCTTACAGATCGTTGATGCTCACGCCACATCTCCTGTTGATCCGGAAGCCTTCCACGTCCATTTTCCGGTCGGAATGGTGGTCCACGACGAGAAGAGTCGAAGTGAGATGGAGGTGGTGGTCCGCCACGGAATGCGGGTGGTGGTCCGTGCATTCCTGGTGGTGGTCCGGCACGTGGTGGGAATGGTGGCGGCGGCATTGGAGGTGGCGCACCAACTGGTCCTCCACGACCGAATGGTGGTGGCGGAGCGTTGAATCCCTGTTGGAACATTGGTGGCGGCTTATTCGGATCAAATCCTGGTGGTGGCACACCGTGTGGTGGTCCGACTCCTGGCGCTGGTGGAAATCCAGGAATTTGTGGCATTCCTGGTGGAGGTGGAGCGTTGAGGTTCAATTGGAACATTGGTGGGACGCCTGGTGGAAGTCCAGGTGGTCTTGGTTGCCCTGGAAGTTGTCCTAACTGAGGATGGAACGGGAAGCCCATTGGTGGAGGCTGTGGAACGGGTGGTTGCATGGTAGGAGGAGGTGGCATCGAGATGAGCGACTCTCCATTATCCTTGTACAACGTCTTTTTGTCGGCTGGGAGAGATTCCACATCTAGCATCGATCCTTCGCAGAAAGTTTTGAGGTCAGATGGCAGTTTGTCGTATGGGAGCTCCCAGACTCCACGATTGCAATCCCAGTGTTCGACGAAAGAATCTTCCTGTCCGGGACTTCTGGCCCAGTAAACTCTGACCATTTTCTTAGCGACAGAGACCTCTCGAAGCTTCTGGACCACCTCATTCGCACTCTTTCTCGTCTCCATTGTGACGAATGCACACGCTGACTTGCTGATAACTTTGACTCGAACGGCCTCTCCACATGATTCTACAGCTTGCTTCACATCGGCTTCCACAACATTAGTAGGTAGTTTTTTGAGCAGCAAGGTACGAGAGGCAACTGAAAACAGAAAAAAATTAGCCTGATTCCCATCAATTCCTTTTCCCCTTTCATCAGATTTCTCATTCGACTCACCAATAGTAAATCCAGCTTTCACAGCCGGAAGTCCCATTTTCCTCCTCTCCTTATTCTCCTTCTCTTTCTCTTTATCCTTCTTTGCCTTATCCATTTCGTTGTTATTCGACGCTTCCGCCATTTTCATATTCTTCTGCGGGCTCTCCATGTTCTCGTTGGCGAGCAACGCTTGCTGCGCGGCCGCCAGCTCCGTGAGCAACGGGTTGACGCCGGCTTGAAGGGCAAACGGTAGAAGAGGATTACCCAGCATCATTAGGTTTGGTTGGTTGCCCGCGGTGCCCACTTGCCCTTGGAGCGCCTGCAGCTGTGCGGCGCGCTGTTGAAGCATGAGGGCCGCTTGTGCGTTTTGTGGGTTTAGAAGCTGTGCGGCGTTGAAGCCTGGAATATTCTGAAGACCCAGATGTTGGTTAGCCAAACCGGGTGGCAACGATTGCTGGAGAGCCATCAGATTTGGTGGTGGGGCTCCTAGATTCATGGGCGCTGACGACGTTGGAACAGTGTTTTGTGGCATGAGAGGAAGGCCGAATGGGTTGACGGCAGTTGTTGTGAACACTTCAGTGATTTTAGAGAGAATAGCTGGCTGAGTGATCAAGGTATTAGCCAAACCAAGAATCTCGTCATGGTTCAACTTCTTGATTTCCTTCTCCGGCTCTTTCTCCTTATCGTCTTCGTCATCCGAATACTCAAAATCTCTCGTTAAAACATTCTGTATACTTGTTCCATCCTTTTTGTTCTTTTCGTTCTGGGCTTCAGTGATCTTCGGTGCCAAAATTGCAATGAAAGTTTGAAGAACCTTTTGAAGCTGATTACGATCCTTTGTGAGCACTCCAGACCGATCGATTCCAAACTTCTGAATCATTTCCAACATCTCTCGTTCCGAAATCGTTCCATTCACTATCTCTTCGGAGAGCACAAACGTCGGAATGTCGGGACCTTTAAACGAAGGACCAGCTCCTAGAAGACCATCATCAGGAGGTGGCATCGGAGGAGTACGAGCTTGCTTGTTACCTCGGGATTTCCTTCTGTATGTGCCAGAGTAAATAGACATGTCGGCATTTGCTCCTTTCACGATACGCTCCACTTCCTCGAACTCTATCTCTGAAATGTTTCAGGGTTGTGGATGATTCATTTTATCGCTTGGAGCCCACACTTCAAAGCTCAAACTTACTGAGTCCCGCGAATTTGCACCTGTCGCGATATGGCTGTATCTGTGCCTCGGTGAAAACCTTGTTGGCCATCCACAAGTTGAGCGTCCGCACCAATTTCATCTTGTCCTTCGAATTGCACTTCATAAGCGGCTCGAAGAACTTGTCGAATTGCTTCATGAACCGAGGACCGAACATGTCGTGTTTCAGTTGATGATTCGCCGCACGGACGATGCTATCGATCACATATAATACGTTGAGCCGTTGATCAGGCTTGCACTGAAAAAAAGAAAAAATATTGAAAACAAGGACTGATAAACTATCACAAACCTTTGTTATAAGCTTCTCGCATCCATAGACTACATGCTTATAATGTTTCTGCGCCTTTATCGCTGCCTTCGTGATGTCTTGGATTTTGTTCTTGCTCAAGTTCCGAGAATCGAACAGAGTGGCTAGCTCAGAGTTGAAGTTCTTCAATACTGGGTCGTCCATGGCTAGATGAAGTTTGAATTGGTGCTAGTGAATGAGTCGGGAACTAAAATGGATCGCTGAAAAATTAGAAAATTGGAAAGTGAGGATAAAAACGTCGGAAAGAAGCGATGGATATATTCTTGAATAGGTTATTGGTTGACTCTTAACTCATTAAAAAATTTGAAACATTCTGAACGATTTTCGGAAAAATCGATATTCTTCGCAGTCTAGGTTTAGAGTTTCCTATGTAGTTTTCCTCGAAAATTTTCTGGCTTTTTTTAGTTTATTAGTCAAATTTCAGTGTTTCTAAACTATGATTATTTTTTTCACCGAAAAAATCGCATGAATCGCGTTCAAATCACAAAAATAGGAGGGAAAGTTGGCGGCAATCGGCAGAATCCGAGACCACCCGACCGCGCCGCACCGTTGCAAAACACGCGTGCGGCGGTTTGCGTTTGCGACGCGCCGCCCACTTCTCGGGCTTATTTTCTATGGAAACGGATGGAAAATCGATATATTCTGAGGGAGATTCATAGTTTTTCGTTTATATTGATTAATGAGATTATGCAGCAGACCCTTTCTTGTCATTGAATAGAACATAACTTGGCTTTTTTCTGCTGCCCGTGGATAATCATAGAAAAAAATCAAGATTTGTTGAATATTTGCAGTGTCGCATGTCAGAATCGAGCGATATTCCAACCGGTACTTACTCCTTGAGTCTCGGAAGGTCATTCGACACAAAGGGAAGGAAAAATGATCCGAAAGCGGCGCAGTTCCATACTTTGAGATGTGAGATTTGAAGAAAAAATTGAAAACGGAGAAAGTATTTAAAAAAGTTATTTTCAGACGATTTCAAGCCAAGTTCCGTCTCGAACAACGTCGACAATACCTTCATCGCATTCGGAAGCAATAGTCAAGATGTGCACGTGTCGGTGCCAAGTGAGGGAGGAGACAATATGACTGTATATAAGGGCTCAAAGAAGGACGCAAAGCCCAAAGAGTGTCTTTTATTTTTCGATAAAAAGACAGGAATGGTTCGGTTGGAGAAGATAACCAGTAATATAAATGTGAAGAAGACACGAGATTTGGATCCGGCCACCGAGCAGGCGTTGAAAAGAGGAATCGAGCGGTTGAGGTGAGTAGATAAATAGTTTATATAAAGCACAGAGTTGCCCGCGGTAACCTCCGCAAAACGCGCTTTGTCGCACACCTCAAGTTCAAGGACTTGGCACCGTGCCAAATCATCATTTTTTGAATTGAAAATTCCAAATTTCAGCCGCGTCGCGCGGCGCAACGCGCGCTCAAGAGCACTGAGAAAAATTTGAATGCATGTACCCTGTTGCGACCCCGTGGTAAAGCTTGAAACAGACGTTTTTCAGAACGACGGCCTCCTCCAACCCACAACATCTCTCATCATCCTCGTCTCCAGAAGAGAAACAACGACCGCCGCCGCCTGTTCAAGACACTTCGGATTCTGAGAGCGATTCTGATTCAGATTCAGATGACAAGTCGAACGTGGATTCTAGTGATGATGATGAGCGAGCACTTATGGAACAGATGAAGCAGCAGCAGCCAGCTGAACAACCAACAAATTCCTATCACCAGGAAAGCCACGTGGCACCACCACCGCCATCCTACAACACCAGCTATGGATCTTCATCTTCAAATCGCAACACAAGGATCAATAAGGATTCCGAGAAGTATGGATTGGCGTTGAGTGAGAGCTCCGACGAGGATGATTAATTTTTTATCGTTTCCTGTCCAATGTTTGTATTTCTATTTATGTTCATTGTATTATTCACATTTCTTTTGTCCCGAAAAATTTCATATATTCATTTTTTAAGAGCACCTGTGTCTGTGATACTTTTACTGAATTCTAGTTCATTTCATTTCTTCTTCTCTACTGGGTCCGTTTATTGCATTCTTTTCGATAAATTACTTATTTACTCGTTTCTGGCGATTCCTATCCCTTAAAATCAACGGGGGTAAAAACTATTTCACTAAACAACGGGCGACTGTAATTTCGGAGCATCGTTGCGAAATGAAAATAGGTGGGAAGTTTGAAAATAAAAAACTTCCAGAAAATATTATCCTTGTCTGAGAAAAAAAGGTTGAGACGCAGAGAAAAAATGTCTGTGTCTCCACCTTATGTGTGCTATTTAGGCTCTCCGCTTCGATATCGCTACCGTATTCAGACTGCAAAAAATACTCTATAACCTTTTTTTTCTCAGACAAGCATAATAATGACAACAGAGCAGCACCAACAGTACACTCCGGAGCACACGGTTCCGGTGCTTCTCGAGGATATCGCTGACACAAAAACCGATACGATTCAATTCGGCAAAGTCTCCCTGGTTCGAATTCAGCTCAGAGCCATAGTCGAATCCATCAGGTTCAATGACAGCGACGCCGAGTATATTGTGACAAATGAAGCGAGAACGCATCGGATGATGGTTCAGAAAATTTATACGGTATTGGGAATTCGGGATTCACCTAGACTTCAAATTTCTTGAATTTTCAGCCAGCGTTCCCTCGTTCCCGTTGCGAAGAGTTCATCGTCAGCGACAACGTAGCAATCTTCGGAAAAATCCGGGTCAAAGAGGACGGAACCGCGTTTATCAATGCGCTCGGCTTGAATGTGATCGGATGGGATGAGGTTGCGGCGGGTAGAATTATCTATAGAATGTCGAAAAGCTATTATGAGAAGGTAGGCGATTTTTTAGATTTCATTTCTAGCCATTCTGAGCCTATTTGCAGCCATTTTCAGCCATTTTGAGGCAATTTACAGTCAATTTGAAGCCATTTTTAGCCATTTTGAGGCCTTTCACAGCCATTTTTAGGTCATTTTTAGCCATTTTGAGACAATTTACAGTCATTTTGAAGTCTATCTTCACAGTCCTTTTTTCGACATTTTGGAACCAAATTTCTATAATTTGGGCTTTTTAATCAGAAGAATCGAAAATCAGTTTCAGAACACCGCTGCACTGCCGACAAATCAATCCTCCGTGGCTCATCTGAAACTGGGACTTCACAAGAAAACTGGAGACGTGTCTCGATTCCCAATCGACCTACTCGAGCCGTCTGCCGCTCTGGAAAACAACGGAGGCGTGTGGCCGTCGGAGATCGAGGATCTGGCGGCGGGATTAGTGGTCAAGAAGGCGAAAGTAGAGGAGGAATCGAGTTCAGATGAAGAGGAGGATTCTGATGGCTCAGATGAAGAGGAGACAGAGTCAGAGGATTCTGAAGAGGGAGAGGAAGAAGAGGATTCATTTGACGCAGGACCCGCGGCGTTGGTCCAAGAAGAAAGTCAGGTTCTAGAAGATTCGTTCGATGCTGGACCGACGACTACTATTCCAGAAGCTGCTGAGAAGCCAAAACAAGAGGAAGAAGTTGTCTTCGATTCTTTTGAAAATGCCTAATTTTTTTAAACCATTCTAATGCATCATTCCAATTTTCGTAAACTAAAGATCTCATTTTTATCATATGAAAAAAAAATAATTTTTTGTGTTTTTTCTTTTTTTTTTCGTATTCCGTATTTTACCGGTAATGATCCTGTGAAAATTTCCTTTTAAACAGTGAAGAAAAATGTACCTTTTTAATGCGAATTCTCGAGAGAAAAAAGTTGATTTTTCTTCGATTTTTATCAATTTTTTTTAATTAGCAAATTGTTCAAGTTTCAGATTACAAAAACCGGAATAATCGAAAAAGAATCTTTGAAAACAGCTGAAAACCCTAAAAAGGTCAGAAAATTTTGCTAAAAAATCGAGGAAAGTTTTCGAAAAATTCGCAAAACCTCGAAAAATGGCTTCAAAAAGACGGAAGTTTTTGAAGGTTTTTCGCTTCTTGAAGCGATTTTTTCGAAAATTTTCTTTGGCCCTATATAGAATCAAATATTTTTCTACAAATTTTCGGTCGGAGTCCCCCTTTAAATCTTATTTTCAGCGCTAAAAATGCAACACATTCGTCTCGCTGTGGACCATAGCAAGCTGGATTCAAAGTTTGATGGCTACAAAGTTTCAATGGATAACATCCATTTTGAGAGCAAACAATTGCCGCAGAGATGTACATGTCCTTCAAAAAATTCGGAAAAAATCAATATTTTCCAGCATGCCTACGCTCACCAACGAACATTATGGTTTCTCTACAACATATGAAAGTCTTCTCGAACGATAATCAATTGTTTTGCAACGTGGAAAAGTGTACGGAGTCGCATGAATACTTGTACCGTATTCTAGACACTGGACACATTCAGGAGTTGGCTTATGATAAGAGGAGCCGTCAATGGAAGGATATGATCATTGGGAACATCGATATCGGGACAGACTCCTCGCCAGCGTTCCCAACTGGCTTGATTTTCACAGATTTTGAATTCTACGTGGCATCCAATGGAATTTCAGATATTTCGGTTCATCTTGGCACCGAAGTCATGCTAAAGCGTACTTTTGAAGGCGCCAAGGGGATTTGTTTGATCGAGGCGAAAGTTATTGAGAATAAGCTGAATATTCTGGCATACTCTGTGGAGAATTCAGAGGAGAACGATCGAAAAACAACAAAGACGCGGTCGAGAATCTATTGGATTGTTGTCAATTTGCTTGATTTTGATTGCACCAGCAATCTCACTATTGAAAAGGAAACACAGTTCATTCAGAATGGTCATTTTGAGGTACTTTTGAGTGACTACAGTATGTTAAAGGCGCATGCAAAAAGTTTACCTGCGGGTCTTGAGCGAACTACATTCAAAAATATTTTTGTGTTTTTTTGTCAATTTTCTGAAAATTTCAATTTTTCAGAACTTTGAAAATCAGAAAATTCCAAAATTTTGAAATTAGGAAAATATCGGAAATTCTAAAATTCTGAGATTCAGAAATTTTGAAAATCAAACATTCCGAATTTTAAAAAACTCTAAAATTCCGAAATTCGGAAAATCTAAAAATTCGAAATTTGGAAAATCGAAAAATCCGAAATTCGGAAATTTCAAAATTTGAAAAATCGAAAATTCTTAAAATCGGAAAATCAGAAATTCTAAAATTCTGAGATTCAGAAATTTCGAAATTTTAAATTTTCAGAACTTTTCGAAATCGGAAAATTCCGAAATTCGAAAAATCGAAATTTGGAAATTCGGATAGTCGAAAATTCCGAAATTCAGAAAAAAATGAAAATTCAAAATTTTTGATTATCGGAAAATTCGAAGTTTGGAAAATCGAAAATTCGGCGAAGCAGAAAATTGCAAAATCTAAAATTTCGACATTTGGAAAATTCTAAAATTCAAAAAATTGGAATTTCAGAAAATCGGAAAATCTAAAATTTTGAACTTTCAAAATTCAGAAAATTTCTGAAATTCCGAAAAATCCGAAAAATCCGAGATTTGAAAAATCGGGAATTGTTAAATTCGGAATATCAGAAATTCTGAAATTTCGAAATTCGGAAAGTTCTGAAATTTCGAAATTCAGAAAATCGAATATTCGGAAAATTAGAAAATTGAAAATTCTACAATTCCGACCATTTTCAGACTTGTACATTCTCCAGCGATGGAAATTTGATTTTCTTGGCCAGCGAGAAGCCACGTGTCGATGGAGAGCAAGTGACTGGTAATCTAGGATGTGACCTAAAAAAGTACCCTCTTAAATTTTCAGTTCTCAATCACACTTGGTCTCAAACTGGCGCCACAATCGAAGTGAAATTCACGTTGACCGGTGGCTCACTGTCTCAAGAAGACGTCGATTTGAACGTCTCCAAATCTAGTGTGAAGTTGGCGATTCAAGATGTCGTCGTGCTCAACGGAACACTGGGCGGAGAAATCGACGAGAATGATGTGGAAATTGCGATGGGGCAAACCGAGAAATCGTTGGTTTTTTTAATTTTTCCCATAGAGCGAACTTTCCCCTATTTTCAGACTAACTCTGAAGCTGAAATCGACGTCTGACAAGAAGTGGGAGAAGCTTATTGGTTTGGAGACATCTAGAATGGAAAAGGTAGAAAACGAGGAAATGGGAAAGATGGGTGCATCAGAGGAGCCAATGGAGGAGTGTGATGAGGCTGATAAGGCGTTGCTATTCTACTGGGTCAACAGACAGAGTGGAAAGACGATTGCTCAGTGTGACGTCTCCGGCTCTCAATCTCTATTCGTCCGCCGCAATCGTGATCAGCCAGCGGACTTCTGTCTCCGTCACGATGTTGATGGCCTTCTCTGGTCGTTTGCTGGCCCCGCCCCTTGCCACGTGGCAACTCTTCAAGCATTCGGATACGTTCAGGCATCGAAAACGACTCGGCTGTGGTCAGGATGCTCGCCGAACAACACCATGGCTTGCATCATTGAAGGCAACAACCGGGTGCTTTTGTACTCACAAAAAGTCGAAGTTTTTGGAAGTGAGTATTTGGCAAGTGCGCTCTGTTGATAATTCTCTTTTTCTCTTAGGTCTGAGCAATCGCAAAACGTCGCAAACTGTAAACCACGTGGCAAAGCAGCATCTGCTTCGTCTCGAGTGTCCGGATCCGATTCGTGGTGTCCATATGACCAACACACATCTCTTCGTCGCCACCAAAGAGCACATCCACGTGGCGGAGCTTCCTGTCTAATCTAAATTGCTTAAATTATTGAGATGAAATTTTGGGATTTTATATATCTTCAACAAGCTTAAAACAAGACCTAAACCCGTTTCCAAGGCATATCGGATCAGTAACAAGTGAATTTGAGGGGAGGAGAGGGGAAGGGGGGAGGGGGGTGAAAAACAGTGGGTGGGAAATTTGAATTTTCTAGTAACAACAAGATAATTTTATAAATGAGATAACTGATTTCCATGGACCGGACAAGGGCTTATCGAACTCCTCGGATTAAGACCCATCTGCATCCGTTCGTTGGGTGATGGTGATACCTGGAAGCTTGCTACATTGATGATAGAGCGCATTTCCTTACATCAATGGATCCTTCAGTGCTGTCGCCTTCTTCGAAACAGCAGCCACAGCAACAGCAGCAAACGAAGAGGCAAGGGCATACACGACGCGGCTCATCGGCATCGCGCATCTGCAAATTTCGATTAGAGCGCGTTTGCATAATATCACTAACTTGTGTCTCTCGCATTGAATAGATGACCGATCCGATTATGCAAATGATAAAGGACACAAAGTAGAGGTAGTGGAACTGAAAAACTGTTTGAATAGGTTCAGAAAAAAAAATAGCAAAATTACCGTATCCTTAAACATGAAAATTCCAAACAACAACGAATAGAAATCGGCGGTCAGCGTTGACAAATTGAACATTAGCGCTGACGTCTTCTGAAGTACCACCGTGACCAGCGAGTAGAAGATGAACATCGAGAAGGCGAAGAGCGCAAAATAGGATACTGTTGTTCCATCCCACACGATTTTAGAAAGCGCTTCTTGCTCGAACACGGCTCTGTAAAGAAAGAAAATATTTTTTTTTTCTGTTCAGATGTCGTGTGTGTTATGATGCAAAATCCGCAAACACCGTGACGATAGAATGCAGAATGCCGTAAGGTATGACGCAAGATACGCAAACACCGACCCGCAAAAATGCAGACTGACTTGTAAAGAATGGGAATTTTGCAGAAAAGAAAAGAAGAAAAAACATACGTTTGCACACCGGAAACAATGCATCCGAACAATCCAAGCATCCCGAGATATTCTGTCCGCGAGTGCTGTTTCACCAGAAACTCCTCAGCAACATTGCAAATCGCGTACATCACCGCCGCGGCGAGACACAAAACATCGCCCAGCACTTTGTTGGATCCCCCTTCGGCGCCTTTGTCACCTAATGCATCTGCCCAGATGACACATGCGATGCCAACAAGGCAAATTGTGACGCCTGAGGATTTTTTTTTTTTTGGGGATTTTGAAAATTTTCAATTAGGAATATAATTGTTTACCTAAAATATGGGAAGCCAGGTAGCGAACAGATAGAAACAGCCAGGAGAGGAAGAGGACCGTTGGGATTGTGGCGCAATCGAGGAGCTGGAAAAAAATTTTCAAATGCAATCAAAATTTAAAAAAAAATTTTGAAAAAATTCTCAGTAGAGCGAGATCGAATACCTGAACAGATGTTAAATTGGTGTACTGATAAGCCTTAACAATCATATAATTGGCTTCCACATCGATGATTGCAAGTATCAAATATCGCCATCCGCGCTTCCGAAGAACGACGACAAGGCTGTTGTCATCGGTTTTGCATGCCAGTGATATGCAATAAACGAAACATAAAAGGAAGTAGTTGGAGAAGGCTTGGGCTGAAAATAAAATAAACATTTCAAAAAAAAATTTAACTCACCAGCTGGCGCATTTACATTTTCGTTGACTAATAGCTGACTCGAAACTCCGGTCCCACATAAACATAGTGATAAGATTTGTCCCAATATCAGTGCTTTGAATGTTCGGCTGAAAAATTCGTAATTTTTAAATTTTTTGAAAATTTTTAAAATTTCCCCCACCTAATTTCTGAATAATCCTTCGCTGAAGACGAAGACGGAGGCATTTTAGGCGAAAAAATAGGATGCTCCCGCACTTTTTATCAAAAAAAATTGGGGGCGGCGACACTTTATCAGTAGCACTAACGGGAGCGGCGCAGACAGAAGAGAGGCGAGAGAGAAGGAATTAGAGAAGAGACGCAGAGTGAGAAATAGAAGAAACAGAGGGTATTATTTTTTGCACAGAAAATATGAGTTTGTCGGGGTTTGGAGTTCGAGCGAACTTTGAATTTTGGTTGAGAGCAAGAGTGCTCCACTGAGAACTAACCTAACATTGGGATCGTCGCAGCACGGTGAGCAGTTTATCGCGTCGTCATAGTCATCTGGAGAAGGGAGAGGAGGGGGCGGAGCGAAGGGATTTCGATGCGGTTGTACTGACGGTGGACGAAGACCATTTTGTTGTGGCGGTGCTGATGACGTAGATGCAGCACCGCAGTTTGTCATCTGGAAAGTGCGCTCTATTGATAACTTTTTGAATTTTAAAAAATTCAACAAAACGCGGTTTGAAAGCTGGTCAGTTCAAAGCCTTACGGTTAGTAAAATTATAGAATTTGTCATCTGGAAACGAAGTGTGGTCCAATAATAATTTTTTTGAATTTCGAATTTTTAAAAAAATTTCAATAGAGCGCATTGTCAAAATTCCTTATTTAAAAATCTTACAGTTTTGAAAATTATGCAATTCGTCATCTGGAAAACGGAAGTGCGCTCTATTGATAACTTTTTAACTTTAAATATTTATAATCGCGTTTTTGGATGTCGTTAGTTCAAAACCTTAGAGTGTTGAAAAGTATACAGTTTTTCACCTGGAAACTAAGTTCGCCCTATTGATAATTTTTTGACGTCTGAAAATTTTGTTTAAATTTCAATAGAGCGCATTTTCAGAACTCGTCAGTTCAAAACCTTACTATTAGAGCGTTTAAAATTATAAAGTTTTTCTTCTTGAAACGAAGTGCGGTTGATAACTTTTTTCTGTTGATAATTTTTCGAATTTTGAATTGTTTTAAAAAATTTCAAGAGAGCGCATTTTCGAAACTCATCAGGCAAAAATTTACGAATTTGCTCTACCGCATATTTGTTTATTTTTTTCTGAACTTTTTGATTTCAAAATCCAAAAAAATGTCGGCAAATGCGCTCTACCGAAATTCGCAAAAAACGACCTACCCCGTAATCCCCGTACTGTCGAAATGGTTGTTGATATGGTTGCCGATAGTGCTGATTTTGATCTACTCGTCGATATCGATGCTCGCGATCGTCGACAAGTGGCCGTCGTTCGCCAGCGTGCTCGTCGTACACCGATCGATGATACGAGAATGAGTTGGCTGTAAAAAGAGAGAGATAGAAAATTGAGCCAATCAGTCTCGGGGAAGTATAACTGACCACTTTCTCAATGAGAAAGTGAGAAAACGAAGCTGAGATCTGAGGGGAGTTACACGGTGTGTAACAAATTGCTTCAGTGGTTTCATGGTTTCCGCGGGGATTCGGGTGTCGAGACGAAAAGAGAGAGAGAGAGAGAGAGAGAGAGAGAGAGAGAGAGAAAGAGAGAGAGAGAGAGAGAGAGAGAGAGAGAGAGAGAGAGAGAGAGAGAGAGAGAGAGATAGAGAAAGATAAAAAAGTTTATAGTTTCGGGACACAAATTCTTATATTAATTTTTTCGCTGAAAATTGACGTTTTTTTTGAATTTCCGCCATTTTGCGAGCTGGAAATTTTCAGCGCAAGAAAGCGCAGCTGCATTGTCAGAAAATTTGAATTTTGCCAAAATCTAGTTCAGGTTTTTCAAATGTGCTCTACTGAAATATTTATGTCAAAATTATGATAGAGCGTATTTGCCTTTTTTTTGTTTATTTTTCGGATTCCCGGCATAATTTCTAGGTTGAAAAAAGAAATTTTCAGCACAAAGGAGCACATTTGCGTTCAGAAAAAAAATTTCAAAAAATCGAAAGTTCCGATAGAGCACATTTGGCAAAATTCAAAAGTTGGGTCATGACCTAGAGTTCCAAAATATCAAAATTTAATTTTTGGGTCATGACCTAGTTTACCAAAATGTAATAGTTTAGGTGATGATCTAGATTTTCAAAATTTGGATTTCCCAAATTTGGGTCATGACCTAGATTTTGAAAATTAGGTCATGACCTGAATTTTAAAATTTAAGGTACGACCTGCATATCCCAAAATTAGGTCATGACCTAGATTTCCAAAATTAAAAAAATACAAAATTTGGAAAATCGAAAATTTTTAAAAATCCAAGATTTGGCAAATCGAAAATTCGGAAAATTCCAAATTTCCGATAAAGTATATTTCCAATTTTAGAAATTTTTTGAAAATTTGAATTTTTCCAAATTTTGTTTTTTTCCGATGGAGCGTAATTGCAAACTGTACCTCGTTCTCCTCCCATTGTTGGTACTCCTGAGTGCGTCGTTTCTCTACTTGATTCTATACCATTAGCGTAGTGTTTTTTTTTTCTGAAAATACGGTATGTTTAGGTTTATCAATAGAGCGAATTTGAAAAAATACGATTTTTGGGGGTGAAAAAAATTTGAAAAAAAGTGAGATGGGTCGTTTTTGTTGGGAAAACGTATGGAGGGGGTACAAGGATTAGAAAAGAAGTGGGGATGGACCTCCTTTTTCTACGAAAAAAAGACGAAAAGAGCGCCCAAATGAGCAAACGTATCATATATTTTTTCTCTTTCTTGGTATATATTGGGAGAAGAGGAAAAAATAAAGATATGGGAAGAAAGAAAAGGAAATAAGATTCATTTAATAGATAGTTTTTATACTTCCCAATCTATTTTTTCCGGGACTTTTTAATCAGCAGCTCAGATACAAAATGCAGCAAAGATACGAAATTCCAAAAAATCGTAGAATTTCCGGTTTTCCAAATTTTGGAATTTTCAATTTTTCCAATTTTGAATTTAAAAAATTTTTGAAATCAGGCTCACGACCCAAGTTTTGAATTTTTTATACTTTGGAAATCTAGGTCATGTCCTAATTCTGGAAATTTAGGCCATGAGCTTTTTTTAAACTAGGTCATCACCTAAATATTGAAGGCTTGAAATCTAGGTCACGGCCAAATTTTGAAAATCTGGGTCATGATCCCAAAAACTTTTTTATCATTATTTTTAACTTTCTCAAATTTTCAAAAACCCAAAATTTGGAAATTCAGAAAATCGGAAGTTCCAAAATTTGAAAAAAAAACCAAATTTTTAAAAATCCGATATTTGAAAAATCCTGAAATTCGAGTTTCGAAAGTTATAAAAATCCAAAATATTGAAAATTCGAAACTTCCGAAATTCGTAAAATCAAAAATCCCGAAACCTGAAAACTCAAAAATTTTAAAATTTCCGAAATTTGGAAAATTGGAAATTCTGAAATTCTGGAATTCGAAACTTCCGAAATTCGTAAAATTAAAAATTCTGAAACTCCGAAATTGGGGAAATCGAAAATTGTGAAATTCAGAAATTCAGAAATTCTTAAAATTCTAAAATTCGAAATTTCCGAAGGTTGGAAAATCGAAAATCATTTAAATTCGATAATCCAAAGTTACATTTTTATTATTGCAAACAAAAAATTGAAAAAAATGTTTTTTCTCAATAGAGCGCATTAGCTATGAATCCTAATTTTCAAAGTTGGATATTTCAATTCCAAAAAAATCCAAAACGAATGATGAAGAAATTTTGGGCACAACCAAAGCGAAAAAACTAACACTTGAACGAATGGAAACTTCTCGAAAAATCCTCCAACTACCACTACTTCTAACACTCTTTTTTGGGTCCCAAGAGGCCATCCCTCATACACCAAAAATATTCAAAAAAAGAAGAGAAGAGAGAAAAGAGCACAAGGCGCATCCCCCTTCGACCACTTGAAGAAGAATATGAACTTTTTGATGGGCCGGAAAAAAGAGAAAAAATTGGTGGAAATTTGAAAATAAAATTAAATTTCAAGAGAGAAGAAAAAGTTGAAAGTTCAGAGGTTTTTTTGATAGAAATGTCTGAAACTTTTTTTCAAAAAATTAAAAAATTCCAGAAAATCAAAGTTTTATTTTTTTGCAATATTCTGAATTTCTCAAATTCAAAATACATTTTTCCACTCAGAAACTATTCTTTGAAATCGTATAGAAACCAATTTTCTCACATTCGGATTTTTTTGAAAAAAAAAAAGGAACCTACTTACCGGAAATTGAGTTTGAAGACAACGAAAAATAGGTTCCTTCCAATTTAGAAAATTGAAAATGGAACTCAACTTTCTAAGTCACTTATTAACGACTTTCTGTCTCTCTAATCTTATCAGTTTCTGCCCTTTTTATCAGTTAGGCACACCTAACCATCTAATCGAAAAAAATTTTAACTTTTAAGTTAAATTGGCAATCCTAATAAGGAGGTACATATGTTTATTGGACATAGAAAAGAAACAAAAAATGTGGACCACAAATTAAAAGAGAAAAAAAAACGAAGCAATAAAAATTACTCATAATTCTACAGAAGAGGAGTATCAAAAATGATGTTTTTAATGATTTTAAAAATTAGAAAATGAAACAACTATTTAACCATTTTGCGAAACTCTTCCTCCGATTCGTTCCATACTCCAAAACTGATTGCATTCCACTGAATTAGAATAGATGCCACCCGATTATCCGATTGTCGAACCACATATGTGTGACTGATGATTGAATCCGTGTTTGGGTTTATATCGTACCAATTTTATCTGAAAAAGGACGTTCAAGAGATTCCTCCCAATAAAATCATTTAGAAATGCTTACAATTTTGGCAAAGTATGCGTCGGCGGTGTTTTTGTTGCGTCAATGTATTTTGCGCCGATTTCTTTCAGAATTCCGTTATAGAGAAGATCGTTACCATAGAAGCTTCAATTCTATAGATGCTTGTTTTCTTTTAAAATGACGTAGAAAAACAGGAAAAGCGTGAAAGTGCTGCTTGATTTCAATAGATTCTGCCTGATAGAACTTTGATTCCGGTATTAATTGGTTCCATTGAAGCAACAGAAAATTTAATCAAAACAGACGATATGGAGAACAAATTTTCATGGTTGGCCATATGAGAAAAGTTCCGATCCATCCGGATCATAATATGGAATGATACGTTTTGGAGTTGTGGAATGAAAGAAATATAGAAAATTGCGTTAAAAAGATCTTTTGCTTCCCATTGATACTCCATAGAGTTTCCGAAGAAATCAAGAAAATAATTATGGATTGATTTGATTACGGATTCTTTCTCAGACAGCTGATAAGATGCTACTGAATACGGATAATATGAGTTTTCAATTGATCGTAAGCGTAAGTTTCGATCTTTTCTCGTATGGGATCTTAAAAATTATACTTTTACGAATTTCTGCTCGTCATAACTCACCGAAAATCGATTAACTTTGCAGATACTTTCAACTGGAAATAGTAATATTTATCTTCTTTGTGTTTGGCAATTTTTACTATCCTTTCACTATTGTTACCGTAGCCATGGTTCATCTCTATGATCGCAGGTATATTTGATAAAACTGACACTTTGGAATCGGTTCATTTGAGATGGTTTGATGAACTTCTTCATATTTTTCGAGACGAAGGAGAACAGATATAGATCGTTATACTCCATGTGGTCAAGTATCTCTTTTTGGACCACATACGGATATTTGCATAGAATCATTTTGTTCTGAAAATATTTGGTAAGATTGTAGAAAGACCAAAATAAAATGAGTAAAAAATAACCACTCCTACATAATGAGGAAAACAGATGACGAATAAGGCACAAGACGTAGAGAGTCTAATCGACTGTGCAAAGAAGGGTTAGGTCGCGAGGGACGGGGCAGAGTATCTACTGTGTCATCTGCCACGTCAGCAAAGCGTCGTCAAAGCGTCTTTTCCGTTGGTCCTAATCGATTTGGTTTGTGTGCTAATAGATGTGCTAATAAGACCTATCCAACTAATCTGTCTTCCATGGAGAGTTGGTCCCTATGGAACAGAGGGTGTGCTAACCAGTCATGGTCGTCTACGTTGATCCACGTTATTAGGTGACCCATTTTATTAGTGTACCTTGCAGTAAGACTACAGAAGACACGGTAATTGCTCAACCGACTGAGCAAAGAAGGGTCAGGTGACGATGGACGAGGGAGAGAATCTACAGGACCATTTGCCACAGACGTCCCGGTTATTAATTGTCGTCTTTTTCCCAATCAACTGGTCAATACCTTCTTACAAATCTTTTCCAATTTGGAGAAGTTTGTCATTTTTATTTTTATGGAAAAATTTGTTTGAAAAATGCATGGTAGTCTGAAAGAAACACATTTGTGAATCGATTTGGTTTGTGGGTTTCCAACTGAGACAACTCTGAGAGAGGTGCTATGAAGATCTAACCAACTAATCCTTATTCTGTACTTTTCCATCTGACTTACCTTCTGTTTCAATCCTTCGTGTTTCTCTAAAATCGTTTCCTATATTTAGGCACCACAACGATTTTTTCAAACTCATTTTTCCTGAGAATTGTTTATATTATCGTATTCACCATATCAATATTAGTATAATTCCGAATTTTTTTTCGAAAATGTTCATCCGTTCTCGAGATACACCCTTTTTTGTAACCCCCTTTTTCATCCATTTTCTCTGAGGGGGTTGCAGTGGGCACGGAAAAGTGGGCGGGGCAAGGTGGGCGGGGCGACGCCTTTTGCAAACGTGCGGCGCAGAAAATTCCCGATTTATTGCTGTGATGTTTTTCATAGCGCTGTGAAGAGTTTCAATTGGTTTTCGTCAGCCGGCATGTCGAAATATAGTAAAATGGAGATGTAAAAAAACAGAATGAGTTTGAGAAACAATTTTTATTACGACTATGATTAAATTTTACTAATTTTCAGGTAGAAAACACGGAAATCAGTGAAGTATCGAGCGATGCGAGCGATCAGAAGCAGAGAAGAACGATCGATGATGGCATTCGTGTTTTATAAATTGAAATTTTGTTTAAAAAATTATAGACTCTGGATTTTTGAGAAACAGATGATTTAAAAAATATGCGAATGCCATTGAAACTTCGATTGTTCGCATCGCTCGTCACTTTTCTACCTGAAAATCACCAGAAAACAAAGAACTACAAAACAAACTACTGAACTAACGAAGGAAAGGAACAGAAACTAATAATAAAAAGAAGAAATCAAGAAAATTGGAATGTTCCGTTATCGATCGACTTCTGAAAATGATCGAAGTCGATATGTATCGGTTTTCTCTCGCCCTCGTACTGAACCGCTGCCGTCGTTTTTCCTTTCGAAATACGAAAATCGATAACGAATGCATGTTTTCCCGATGAAGCATTAAAGAACTTTTTTCCGATTCGATCGTCGTCGTTGAGCAGAAGTTGACGAGCGTACTGGTGGCTTCCAATCAAACCCTCCAGTTTCTTCACGAGCTCATCGACGGCTTTTTTCAGTGATCTTTTGGATAATCGAGAACTGGAGATCAGGCTTTTGTTATACACCTTCCAGTGTTTTAATGTGTCCAGGGTCTTTTGTAATTTTTTATACTTTTTTCGCAATTCAACATACTGTGAAATGCAGGAATCATGTATTTTTTTCTCAAAAGGTGGAATGTTTGCTGGCCATGAAAGATCAACAGAAGTGAAAGAATTGGTTTGAGTTTCCTTTTCTCGAAACACAGTTAAATCACTGCTACCACAAACATTTTCTATGACATCAGGCTCAGCTGGATTAATTTTTGGAGAAAAAGATTCCGAGCAATTCTCAGCATCTTGAAAAACGAAAAAATTCACATCAAAAGCTGATTTTTTTAAAAATTCAAAAGACTTATCCTTATCCCTCCTTTGATTGATCTTGTGCTGATTTTCGATCCAAGTCAACCTTCTTCTGAATTTGGAAAGATCACATTGCTCGTTTCCATCCAATCCTAACAACGACTTCGTGATCCGGAACACATCCATCTTTGATACGTTCAGCGCCATCAAGGAACAGACTACTTCGTTGTTTACAACATCCATTGGACGACTGACTTCAAATTCTGAGTTGATTCCATATTGGGCCAGAATGCTGAGATGAAGTTCCTTGAGTTTCTGAGCTCGAGAAGGTGTCAAAATTTCTGAAAATTTAATTGGAAATGAGTCCAAAATAGTATTCTTACCTGTTTTCGATACTTTAGGAGGTGGTTCAACGTCACTTCCGCTATCCATTATAGATTAGAGGTATAATTATATGTTCAAAAACAATTAATTTAAAAAAAATCAAAAATTTACTGTAAGTCGTAAGAACATTGGTTTTCAGTGCATACACCGTTACGTAAAGTTGCACAAAGTTTGGAAAACCACTGAAAAAAGACTTTTGATACAGCAAGGAATCGAACCATGGCCGGTGGCGCGCCGTCCCGAGACACTACCCACTACTCCATGCGCGCGCTGACAGTTGGCGTATTGAAAGGCTGATATGAAGCACGCGCTGCCTCTCTTTTCTAAACAACGGTTTGAACACATTTTATTCACATTCTTAGGTGGAAATTGAGATATTAAAAAAATGGGGGAACAGGTAAAAGTAAACTCGAACATGTATATTGTAGCAAATTTTTCGTAGAATCTGAATATGTAATAAATATCTGCGACATCGACCTGCATTACCGTCAAAATTCGCAAAAACGTCAAAATTTTAGAACCATGTCATCTTTGGATGCGTTTTTTGCTAGCTCAAACTTTTTCAAATGTCATCAAATTGCATATCTGAACAGTCATAGAATGGATCTAAGTATTTTGATATTAAAAACATGGGGTCATCGCTGAAAAAAATTCACAATTTTTGCTTGAAGTTTGATGGATTACTGCAAAAATGGGGGAACTGCTGGCTAAATATGGCTTAATGCATCTTATTCACCATCTAAAAAAGTATTTAGAACAATCATAAAAAGAAGCGACATCGACTTTTATTACACTTTTCAGACCAAATTTCTCATGTCGATTTCTGTTTTTCACGAGTATTTTGAAAGTCGTTGGTTTTCAACGCAAACGCTTTACATCAGTCGATTCTACGTGTTTTTTTACATAACGAGACCAAATTTTATAAAAATCGGTCCATCCAGTCTCGAGTTCTACGCCTTCAAACATGCCAGATACCCCCCAAGAGAAAAAAAATTAGGCTCCGCCCCCTCGCGTTGCGGTGCCTACCTATATTTTCAGAAAATGATTCTATCCAAATACCCGCTTGGTGTTCAGAAGGAGATTCTCGACCACATGATTTATGTTGATCTGCTTCGTCTTTCATTTAGGACTAAAAATATGAAGAAATTGGTTGCATTATCGCAGAAGAAGAGATTCAAAGGTATCCGATCGATTGAGTATCAATATGATAGAAAGGATGGAACGTGTCTGGTGGATGTTCTTGATGAAAATACACCAGATAACAACAAACGGTCGTCAACCACGATAATGAACATTGTCGACCACAAGACGGCTGAGAGGGCTTCCATTCACTATCAGTTGAACCTGAAAGTATCCTATGTTCATCATCACCATACTTGGAACGAGGCCGGGCAGGGCCCGTCATTTCACAGGTTTTGAAAATTTCAAAAAACACATATTCGATCTTTTTCGATCAAACAGACAAGCAATCCAAAAAAACAAAAAAAAAATGGAGAACATTATTGTCGAATTAAAAAAAGTGGGACCTGGAAAATTTCGCGAGCGGCTTCCCGGTCAATTTTTGAGGCCTTGCCTCAAAATCACTACAGTAGTAAACGAAACTTATTTATGTGAGTTCAGTGGGATTTTCTGGACAAAATGTAGATTTCTTGGTATGAAAATGATTGCTAGCATCTCTAGAATCCGTTTTTCATCGAAAAACCGAACTTAATTGCGGAAGTAGCTCGAACTAGGCGAAAGTCTGAAATATTACGTTTTTGCCGCACTTTTTCGTAGATCAAAAAAAGCTGCGCCTTTCAAATTCTCAGGTCCCACTTTTTTTAATTCGACAATATATAGAGAGCTCAAAATTTGTCTCGAAAATACAGGATTTTTGATACCGGGCCTTCCGGTCCGGGCCCGGGCTTTGAAAATTCCTCAGGCCGGGTTTTGGCGGGCCGGCCCGGAATTTTACATGTATGATCACCGCATTTTGGAAGTGTACGAGGACAATGCCCCAATCACTTTAGGGACACTCATACTGCTATTGAAATGGATTATTAAAGTTGGGAGAGACATAAAAGCTTGGACAACGGATACCTCACCGTTTTGACAGATTTTTATGTTCAGCGGCGAGTGGACATGAGCATTAGCCACCACAGACGAGCCGAGCAGGTCACCCGGATTCAGGTCATCTGGATCTAGGTCACATGGTTCCCGGTCACCCGGATCAAGGTTACCAGGATTCAGGTCATCTGGATCTAGGTCACCTGGTTCCAGGTCACCCAGATCCAGGTCACCAGGATCCAGGTCACCCAGATTCAGGTCATCTGGATCTAGGTCACCCGGATCCAGGTCACCCGGATCCATGTCACCTGGTTCCCGGTCACCCGGATCCAGGTCACCCGAATCCAGGTCACCCGGATCCAGGTCACCCGGATCTAGGTCACATGGTTCCCGGTCACCCGGATCTAGGTCACCCGGATTCAGGTCACCCGGATCTAGGTCACCCGGATCTAGGTCACCCGGATCCAGGTCACCCGGATCCAGGTCACCCGGATCCAGGTCACCCGGATCCAGGTGATCCGGACCCAGGTCACCCAGGGACCCAGTGATCCAGGGATACAAGGATCCAAGGATCCAGGACCCTTCCCCGGGTCACCTTCTCTGGAGTCCAGAGAAGGCGAGAACTGATTCTTCTCTCCACTTCCCTCTTCCTTTATAGTATTCTCCCTGAGGTCAATGGGTCATTCAGGGTCGTAAGTTTTTTAAAAATAATTTTTCATCATCACGTTTAAATATCACAATCTGTGAAACTCCATTAAAAAGAGTATTGTTCCTTGAAACCTGATTATATCGGTTCCTATAAGAAATATCAAAAATGTGTCAACTGACAAATTGTTTATCATGAAATTAGAAACATTTTGTCAGTTGACCATTTTTCGATATCTTTCACAGGAACCGAGATAAATTGGCTTGAAGTTGAAAGTCACAGTGTGGGGTCTATTGGAAGCCTATCAAGGATCAAAACTTGAATTTCGAGCTTGAACGCGGTTTCTGATTCGCCTGTACAGATTTCAATTCAATCGATTAACTTTTGAGAAAATAAAAAAAAATTGCCCGAAATATACCAACAATTTAAGAAAGTACATCTGAATTCATTTATTTTTGTGATCGTATTATGATACATCGGCAGAGAAGAAGAGAAGAGGTGAAGGGGAGGGAAGGAAAAGGAAATAACAAAACAAGAAAAATGGAAAATTTGGGCATAAATTATAAATATGTATATAAAACGAAGCTTTTTCGGTGGTCTTTTTTTGTAGGGAGAGAGATTTTCTTTGTGGTGGAGGAGGAGGGGCGGAGGTGGGAGTAACAGTAAGTAGATACACTTTTCTGGTGAAAAAAAAAACGAAATATCCCGCAATTTTTCAAAAAACGGCTAAAAAAAGGAACAAGGATGAAAAAAAACGGAAAACATGTGTTTGAGATTAGAATGAGATGGGAGGGGTGGTGAATAAATATATCGATTATTATTACATAAAATCTCTTTTTTAGGCACTTGGCGGAGCGTAATTTGGTTGTGTTGACACGAAATAGTCATCGAAGAAATGATATAATGTGTCGAAGGTGGGCCGTCGCTCTGGTGTCTTGTCCCAACATTTGAGCATCACTTCCTCGTAAATTTGTTCCGGACATCCACGTGGCATTGGCATACGGTAGCCGAGCTCGACTTGTTCGACGACTTCGCGGTTGTGCATTCCTGGAAAAAATAATTCAATAAGTAGCCTAGAATTTGGTTTTCTCGGTTAATTTCGTACAAAAAAGAAAAAAAACCGCATCGGTGGCCGGGTGGCCGAGTGTGAGTTTTCTAGTCCTCAATGCGGCGACAAAGCGCGCGAATTTAAATTTTACTCAAAATTTCGAAAAAAATTCGAAAAACGACTGAAATTTTAAAAAATTTGTTGAAGTTTTTAAAAATTCAATTTTTCCAGAAAACTTTTTTTTTTTTTGAAAAACGACAGAATTTTCGCTTAAAATGACTAAAAAATGGATAATTTCGCAGAAAATCGGGAAAAATGATCGAAAAAATTTTAATTTTCAGAATTTTTTTTTAATTCAAGAAAAATCACTTAAAAACGACTTTAATTTCTGCTGAAAATCAGAAATTTCACTTGAAACGATAATTTCGAATTCCCGCGCTTCTTCGCCACAAGGGGGACTAGAAAACTCACACTCGGCGACCCGGCCACCGGATGCAGCTTTTCTCATTTTGGGAATTTTTATATGACTTTCACCTTTATTTTTATTGTGTAAACTTTTTTACTTACCTGGATACGGTACTTGTCCCTTGGTCATAATCTCGTATAACAGAATTCCATACGACCAAACGTCACTCTTCACAGTGAAATTTCCACACGTCGCCGCTTCTGGAGCCGTCCATTTGATCGGGAACTTTGCTCCGGTCCGTGCCTCATAGATATCCTCTTCCATGAGTTTTCGTGCCAATCCAAAGTCAGCCACCTTGACGACTGGAACTCCAGAGATCTTATCACCAACAAGAACGTTACGGGCGGCCAAATCACGATGGACTAGCTTTCGCTCTTCCAGATACATCATTCCATTCGCAATCTGAGCGGCCATATCAACAAGCGCCTGGATGCCAAGAGTGCTTCCATCGTTACGAAGATAGTGAAGAAGCGACCCGTTGATCATGTACTCGGTGATAATGTAGAATGGTTCTTCGCGAGTGCAGACGGCGTAGAGTTTTACTAGATTCGGATGATCGCATTGCTTCATAATTGAAGCTTCTTGAAGGAATGCTTCTGGTGACATCGTTCCTGGTTTCATGGTCTTAATTGCCACCTCAACGATTCCTCGCCATTTTCCATACCAGACTTCTCCGAAATTTCCATCTCCTAACTTCCGTTTCAAGTGCAGCTGATTTCGAGGAATTTCCCAATTCTGTTGTGTATCGTGTGATAAATCAGGTCGTGTTGGTGCTAGACGAGGTGCCGGGAATGTTAATTGACAACAGAGACCATCTGGCATTTCGGAATAATATCTAACGAGATCCGGAAGGGTTCTAAATGTCCTTCGTGTTGTGATAAAGTATCCTTGATCATGATCGAGTCGTTTGATTTTGTAATGTTTCACTGTGCCTGTAAAATCTATTCTCGATAGAGCGAAGTTGCTATCAAAATGACAGGCTAACTATTCTAAGTACATAGCAATTTTCAGTGTTGAAAAATATCAATTTTGAGCAAAGTTATGAGCCTATTTTAATTTGGTGGTCTAGAAAACCAAATTTTGGATTTCTAGGCCATGTTGTATATTAAAATGACAGGCTAACTGTGCTGATGCTAAATATCTTTTTAGATTTCCACAATATCAATTTTGAGCCAAGTAATTCCAATTTTAAGTTGGTGGCCTAGAAACCCAAACCTAGGCTAGGCCATGGTGGTCAGAATTTCAAATGCTTATAACTTGGTTCAAAATCAATATTTTTCAAATCTAAAAACTGCTATAGGCTTTGTGAAGCCAGCCCAACAAAATGATATGCAATGTGACCTAGTTTTCCCGAAATTTGGCTTTCTAGGCCATCGATAAAATATTGGATTTCTAGGCTGTGTTACATTTCACAATGTCAAGCCAACCATTTTAATCAAATGACTCACCTCCATTCCTCTGATCATCTGTATCTCGAATTGTTAACGCGAATTCTCTCGTATCTGCCTCTCGTTCTCTGATCAAATATGTTCCTTTCGGTAGATTCGATGATAGTACTAGACGTTCGGCTCGGTTTCTGGGGATCTTTCCAGCGTACCACTCCTCACTCTCTATCGTTTGTTGTCGTGCCACAAAGTTGCGCGGCACGTATCCAGTGATACCGGTTCGCTGATGTTTCACATACCACCAATCGCAATTCGAATAATCCAACAAGTACATTGCATCGCCCTTCTGGAAGCTTAGATCTCCATCAGCTCGAGAGTCGTACGGATAGAGAGCGACGAGAACTTCGCGTTCTTGCTGTCGACCACCGCCTAGACCGGCGTCTGAAGTGCCATTCAGGGATACCGTACCACCGCCCATATCGTTTCCACCATTGTTCACGTGGAACACTGTTTGCTGTTGTGACGGCGTTGTGAATCTGTAGATTGGAACTCTTATGAGGTGAGATGACGTTGTTCTGTATATGTGGCCTAGGTCTCTCTAGACTCTAGATTCCTAGGCCACCGTAGTCACTTACCTCGCCACGTCTATCCGTTCTTGTTGACCATCATTGCCGCCCGATCGCCGCTCTTTCGAAAACAAACAACCCATATTTTACTCTGAATATATGCTAGTTTAGTTGACCTAGATTTCAAATTTACACGTGAAACGTGGTTTTTTTTTTAAATCCACGTCATAAAATTATTTTTCACGCGGAAATCCACGTCATAAGATTCCTTTTTTCACGCAAAATTAATTTTTTACACTTACAAAAAGGAAAAAACCTGTATATAGGGAAAACACGGATTATTTGGCATGCATATGGATTTTTCGGTGTTTCTCTCTCGATTTCGCGCCTTTTTCTGTGGTCTGAAAAAACGTTAATTTTTAGCGATTTTTAGATTTTTTAAAAAGACGCAAACAGTGAAAAAGTTCAGAATATGACTCATGGAGCAAAAAAGTGAAAATAGCTCGAAAAACAATTTTTTGTGAGCAGAGATAGGGAAAGTGAAGAGGTTTAGAGAAAAAGACAAATGTGAGAACGAGAGGTGGAGGCGAAATGGTGAGAAAAAAGTAACGTTTTTCGGGTCTAAAGTTCATGGGAATCGAATTGAGCCACTGAAAATTCTATGAATTCTGAAATTCAAATTGATGAAAAATAATTTGAAAAAGAGCTAAAATTCCCGCCAGAACTTAAAAAGTGTTTAAAAGCGGGAATTCAAAAACTGACGCTAAAGAAGCTTGGGGGAGGGGGGGGGGGCGCACTCAATTTTTTTGAATTTGCCGTCATTTTTCGGATGTCTGAGTGCAAGCAAAACAAGGCATTTTTGCATAAGCCTATAAAACGAAAAACGAAAAAATTTGAAAAAAATTTGAGCCAAAATCAGTGAAAATCGCACATTTTTGGCTGAAAAACTTTCCACATTTTCATGGAAAAGTTGAAGAAATCCGTTATATTATAAAACGAAACAAAGGAGGACAGAGATGCGAGCAGGTCATCATTATCCATTTCTCTCTCTCTCTCTCTCTCTCTCTCTCTCTCTCTCTCTCTCTCTCTCTCTCGCTCTCTCTTATCCATTTCTCCTCTTCCATTCTTCTTCCACACTGGTAGGCGACACGACTTTCGTCACTTTCTCTCCTCCTCCAAAAGACACATCTCCCATTAGAAGACGTTGTTGGCCGTGGTTGTCAATGATTATTATATTTGGAAGATATCGAAAATGAAAGTCCCCCACCAGGGGAATATACCAATTGTTGAGGGAGAGAGAGAGATAAGGGATTATTTATTACATCAACATTTTATTTATATGCAAAAACTTCATCGAATTGTCTTCCAGTTGACTGGAGCAGAGGAATTTTTTGGATTTGTCGATATTCACAGCATACGACGAGAGAGTGTGTAAAAGTGAGAGAGCGAGAGCAAACGCGCTCCAGTGCTGAGTTATTTTCAAGTTTCATTTCTGGTGGATTTCAGACTTTCGACCGGAATTTCAGCAACAAAACTGTTTGTTAGCAAAATACTCGCATAAAAATTTTATTAATTTTTAAAAACGGCTTGAAAAATACGAATTTTTAGTCTTCCATCGACCCATTCTAATTTCCAGTTTCCCATCTTTTTCGTTACGAAAACGATTTCGTAACTAATCCCATTATACAACTGCAGTTGCAACTGAAGAAAATTTACCGTAAAATCTGTATTAATATTCCATTCAAGTCTATTGTTCAAGTCACCTCAAGGGGTGCAACTCTATTAGAGTGGCAATTCAAATAGAGGCTGCAATTCTATTTTTCAAACTACAATTTGAGGTTAAAACTTTGAAAACAAACAGTTTTATTATGAAAATCAACAAAAAAAGTAACAAATTGAACAAAAGCTGCTTCCGCTACTTCCGTACTGCTTCCGTGTTATTTTTTGATTCTGCCCATTTCACCACCGTGCTTGTAATCCAAGGTGTGTGCTCCACGCTTTCTCTTTCTAGAGTTTCACCAATTTTTTCAACGTCTTCTACGTTATCCACGTCTTCCACGTGTTCCACGTCATCCAATTTTTCCACGTCTTCCACGTTATCCACGTCTTCTAGGTCTTCTTCAGAACTCATTGCTCGTTTTGCTCGTTTCAATAAATGGAAAATATTGTTAAAAAACAAAGAAAAATAAGAATAAACCAGAAATTAGGTAGGTAGTTAAAAAAAGAAATTCGAAAAACAACTGTGCAATAGTTCGTCCCGGTGTCACAGACTAAAAAGTGTACAGTACTCCCGGCGGAGCCGCAATACTGCTGCAGATGCAATTGTATTACGGGGGCAATTCAATTAAAGGCTGCAAGTCTATTTTTCAAGTGCCCTCAAGGGGTGCAAGTCTATTAGAGGGGCAATTCAACTAGAGGCGCAATATTAATACAGATTTTACGGTAGGCTAAAAACTTTGGAATTTTCGATGTTAGGCTCCAAAGTTTGGTGGCAAACACTCATTAGCTTGATGATCACTTGCTAAATATGCTTATTAGCTAAACTCGCTCATTTGCTAAGATAGTCTCAATTGCTAAATTTCTTTTTTTTTTGCTAAATTTTGATCATTTGCTAAATAGAGGATTTGTTCAAATTGAAGGCTTAGGCTGAAACTCCTTACCGGAAAACAGGCGTTTAAGCCCAAGCCTAAAATTTAAAACAAAAACCAGAATATTCTGCAAAAATTCAGTCAAAAAATCCTGAAATTAGCAAATAACAGCAGAGTTTCCACTTTTTCATATTTAGCAAATGATCAAAATTTAGCAAATGAAATTTAGCAATTGAGACTATTTTAGCAAATGAACAAGTTTAGCAAATGAGCATATTTAGCAAGTGAGCATTTAGCAAAAGATCATCAAGCTAATGAGTATTTGCCAAGTTTGGTCCAAACTCAAAAAGCCACGTGGCAAGCTCCTCATGAATGTTGACCTATTTTATTCAAAAAATGATGAATGTTGACCTATTTTATTCAAAAAATGTATAAATTTTAAGCCAATAACATGTTTTTTTTTCGAAAAAAAAATATATAAGCGGAACACCATCAGGCACTTTATTTGCACACCTGTTTGCCCAGGGCGATAGGTTTTTCGATATACCTTTCGCTCCAAAAATGGGGGGGAAACGAGAGAGATAGAGAGGGGTTAGAGATACAGGCATCTACACTCTCTCCGGTCGATGATTCTAGGCCATTGGAGAGGTTTCACACATTCTTCACTTGGGGTTGTGAGATAAGAAATTTCTTAAGGAACAATAGGGAATTTTTTGAAAAAAAAATAAATTTAGGCCACAATTTTCGGGGGGAAAACGAAAGCTAAATAGCGAAAGTTGGGTCTCGATTTCTGGAAAAAATACTCTTATCAAACTCTGCCGATTAGACAATATAATGTCATTTTTGTGGTGTGCAGTGCAGAATGCTATAGTATTAGAAATATTCACGGCTCATTGAGCACCGGGCGCGAGATTCCAGATTCCAGGTCAATAAGATTCTGCTTCGCTGGGTTCTACTTGCGCTTCATTAAGAAATCGTAACGTGGCAAAGTTTTAGGTCATTCACCTTCTCATTAGAGCGCAACAGCATCCTGTGCGATGGCGGAAGCTATGGAAAAATTAGAAAATCAAGAGGCTATGAATGTCAAAAATGGACATAACAAATCGGCACAATTTGATAGGGAGAAAGAACAGGAATTTTCGGTTCAGCGCGGCACACAAAGCGGACACACTGAACAGCGGAAACAGCCAGCAGCAGCATGTATTTGCAAGAGCTCCAAGAATCGCCAACATCAGAGCTAGATAATCGGAACAGAGAGTGAACGGAGACCCGACTGGCGGGGAGGTCGCTGACGGAGACTCAATGGACGAAACATGTGTGTGAATAGAAGAGGTGTTAGAGAAACTTAGAGATACATAATGAGATAGAGATGNCCGGTGAGACGCAGACACAGTTTCAATTGAATAGAGGACGATCTTCTGGCGGGGTGGGGTGGCTGACCGATTGAGTGGTCCCGGCTGACGGGCGGAGAGATAGAGAGAGCAATGGGAAATGAGTAATTAGCCGGAGGGAGGAAAACATGCAGTGTCTCTTTTTCCTCTCGTATTGTTCTTTTTTTGGGGTTGTTCAGAAAAAATCTGCGAGAACTCGGAGAATGAACCAATTTAGCTGAAATTTTTCCAAAAATTTTGGGTGAAAAAGTGACTCAAAATATCCACTTTGGATGTTTGGCTGAAATTTCAGACATAATGATCAAAGTGGATGTTTGGACCCCAAATTTTGGAGATATGTTTCTTATAAACTTTTCCACAAAATTTCTACCAGGTTAGACCATTCTTAAAGTTTTCGCGGATCCTATTTTCCTTTTTTTCAACCTGTTGCTGAATAATTCCATTATTTATGTCTTTAACTTGCATTGCACTTTTGCGTAACGATGCTGGTACACCGACATGCACAGTTTGCATTCAATTTTACGAGCAATTTTTCTTGCGCTGCTCAAAGCTGGCTGAAACTTCAAGAAAATCTACAAGCCAAGGACTTCTATGTTAACTAAACGTTTTCCTGTGTATTTTTAAAACAGAAAAATCGCAAAAATTTTTAATTTTTCAGTAACTCTGAAAGGATTTAAGTGTTTTGTTTGTTCTTAGCGAAATTACTGTCTATTCAATAAAACGTGGTCCTAGCTACAGTATTTTTTGAGCTATGAGCCTTTAAAGTTGGCGCGCACTTTTCACTTGTGAGCTAACTTTAAAGGTGCATAGCTCAACGACTACTGTAGCTAATAAAAATGTGTTAACTGATAAAATATGTAAAATTTTATGACAAGTGTTTTGTCAGTTGGTCATTTTTTGATATCTTTCACATGAAATTAGAAAAATAGGATAAAAGTTTAAAATCCCTTTACTCGATGATTACCAAAAACAGTCGATTGAATTGGGGGGTTTTGAAATGCTATTTTTCAAAAAACCATTACCACTAATCCTCTTTCTCTATGTCTCTCTTTTATCG